AATTTTACGTGATTTTATTTTAAATTAATCAAAAATTTAATATAATTATTAAATAAAAAAATTAATAAAAAAAAGTTAGAGCTGCGTTATGACCGCAGCCGGGGTAAAGGAAAAAGAGCTGCATGAGATTTCCTCCCTCATTTCTCCCCTCGCCTCTTAGCTTTTTGTTGCTGCAAGTGGGTTCTCCGTGGTGATTGAGAAAAACATGCAAATTTCAACCTTTGAAATTTGGTTGCATGAGAAATCTTGTAGCAGTAAAAAAGGAGTTGAAAATGCAAGCAAAGTGCAGGGTTAAAAGTGATGGTTATTTGGCAAGAAGGTGCAGCCGAAAATCTTGACAAAAATGAATTTTGCTTCTGTATGTATCCATGATATTAAAGGTTAAGACTTTGAAGGCCATTGTATGCAGGGGCGGAGGCAGAAATTTTTTTTAGGGGAGGTAAAATATTAAAATTTTTGAAGTTTAGAAGAAGTTAGATAATTTTTCATATATCAATTTATAAAATTTTCAAAATTTATGGGGAAGCGCTCCTCCCACCCTTGGCTCCACCACTGATTGTATGGTTGGATTTTGACCTTACAGCCCATTTCATTAATTTTGGGTGGTGGATTTTTGGCTATAAAAGTCACTTGACCATTCGACAAACACATCAAGAAGAGCAATCCAAAGCAAGGTGAGCTCTAAAAAATACAAGAGTTTGTGAGTGTTTTAGGTGAGGGTGAGTACGAGTAAAGTGGTTAAAATTATTTTGTTGAGTGTTTTTTGAGTATGTCATATTTAAAAATATTGTAAATGTAAATAAGATTTAGATGTAATTAGAGATTAAGTATTTTTTTTGAAAGTATTATAAATTGTATTTTTTAATTTTAATAGTAAATTTTTTTTTGTGAGTGTCCATAAATGTAAACTTAATTAAATTAAAACTAAACTACATAAATTTTACCTTTTTTGTAGTTGTGCATTTTTTATTTAATTAATTTTTTAATTTTGTAGTGGGTTAATCAAAATCTCAAACAATTTGTTTCAAATGCTTTTTCCTCTCTAGAATTCAAGGATATTGGGCTGTGGATTGTGGCTACTTTCCCACTCCGTGATTGCAGTCCGACCATGATGAGCATGCCACTTCTTCGATCGATCCATCTTGGGTATATTGATTACTTGATTTAATAGGCTTCCACACTCTAGTTCTTTTCTTACATTCTTCATCCAGAAATAAGAACTAGACTGTTTTACAGGCTACTTGCACGGAGGGCAAGCAGGAGATTCTATAGCAATGCCAAAAGATCAGTTGCAGAAAACAGAGGGGATCTCCATGAAATATCTGGCTCAAATTCGAGGGCTGCATTGAATGAGGAAATAGCAATAGGGGTCCCTAAAGAGAGAGATGGCATCTGCATATACAGAGTCCCCATTAATATACGTCAAGCGGAACCAAAGGCCTATTCTCCCAGTATCATCTCCATCGGCCCCTATCATCATGGAGAGGAGGGACTAAAAAAAATGGAAAAGCTCAAAAAGCAATCCATTGACCGCCTCCTTCAGTCTACTCAGCCTAATGGAGTCAAATTATATACGGTGAAGAATGCCATGGAAGAATTAGAACAGGAGGCTCGTAGCTGCTATGAGGATGAAATTAAGATTAGCAGAGAAGATTTTGTGGAGATGATGCTGGTTGATGGCTGCTTCGTCATCGAGCTCTTCAGAGAGTTAAAACAGCACAACTTCAGATATGCTCCATCTATTCAAAGGTGGATGCTGCCAACTCTTCGCCATGACATGATTATGCTAGAAAACCAACTGCCATTCTGTGTTTTGCAGAAACTGTTTGAGTTGACAAGCAGTTCGGCAGAATCAAATACTTCTCTGAGAGATCAAGCCCTTCACTTTTTTGTCCCGCTGCTTCAAGGAGATCCAACTCTAAATTGCATCAGTAAAGAAGTAACAGGGAGACACTTCTTGGATCTTCTCCGGTCTAGTCTCCTCCCTACCGCAGAAGAAAAGAACAGGACAAGTGATTCCCACAAGAGCACAGAATGCAAAGCAATGGAAACAAATTTAACTAACACGATGAGGTCTGCAACAGAGCTGGAGAAAGCAGGGTTCATTATCAAGAAAGGTAAAGCACGCCTTCTAGATATAGACCTTGAAAAAGGATGGCCGAATAAAAGGGTTCTGAAAATCCCTCCTCTTTACATTGATGATTACAAGGGAACTCTGTACCGCAACATGGTAGCATTTGAACAATGCCACCGTGAGTGCAAACCATATGTTACATCGTATTTGTTCTTCATTGATGGTCTAATAAACTCAGCTGAGGATGTAGAACTTCTTCACCACAAAGAGGTCATCCACCATTCTCTAGGTCGAGACAAAGAGGTGGCTGACCTGGTCAATAGCCTCTGCAAGGAAATAACATACGATGGTTATGAGTCATATCTACAAAAAGTTGTATCTGATGCTAATAGCCACTATCATAGTAAGTTTGCTCAGATCAGAGCTAAATCGGGGCACCATTCTTCAGCAGCTTGGTCGTTGGCATCTCAAGTCTTGGCATCTCGACTCGTGGACGTATTTTTAAAGTAGTCAATATCGTACCGGTATGCATATTTTGCTACTGGAACAGTACAAATATCAAAATTTTTCATGTATCGTTTTGGATTTATCGTTATAAATATATATTTTTATAAATTAAATATCAAATTTTAAAATAAGATAACTTATAA